TTATCGCAAAGGGAGGTCTGCCTCCATGTGCTTAAACGAAATCTTACAAAATATTCATGTGTACAAGGATAGAGGTCAAAAAGTTGTGGCAGTTGTAGTAGATATTAGTAATGCGTACAATAGTGTGCCGACGCTGGCGTTGTCTTATATGCTGAATGATTTTAAAGTTGAAAGCAAGTATGTGAACTGGATAAGGTCCTTCTTACAAGAAAGAGTACTACGGCTTGGAAAAAGCGAAGTTACTGTAGGTAATGGTTTACCACAGGGTAGCTGCCTCTCTCCACTGCTATTTAATGTATATACCAGATCCCTACATGAATGTGAGGATAATTGGACTGATGTATACCAATTTGCAGATGATTTTCTTATTTTGATACACGATTGGGATTTTAAGAGACTAGTAGTCAAGCTTGAGTAGAAAATCAATGAGTTTGTAAGAGTATGTAATAGTCTGAACCTGGTTATTAATTAACAAAAAACCAAAGTTATACAGTTTTCCAAAAACTGCAAAAAAGAGATCAAGTTGAAGGTCAATAATCAGGCAATTGAACAAGTTAAACAAATTAAGTTTATAGGTCGCACTCTTACGGCGTCCTTGTCTGTTAAAGCACATTATAATAAGCTGTTAGAGAATGCATCTAATAATGTAAAGTTAATCAAATCGATTACCTCAGTTAAAGCTGGGGTAATGCCGAATATTGCTGTGAATTTGTACAAAAGTCTGGTTAGATCCAAAATTGAGGTGGTTCATGATATTCCTAAGTCTGCGGAGTAGAGTTGTCAAACTATCGATGGCACTAACGATAGTATCGATAGTTTAAATTTTTTTAGACCATCAATACTCATTTGGGGTGTTCACAGTTCGTTCCAAATAGTGTCTGAAAATGTAGACGTCTACATTTTAAGACGTTTTCTAACCGTAAAATCTGTGGTGTTGTTGTTTCCCATACAAAATTGGAAAACGACGCCGTCTACATTTTGTCACACTCAAAGGTATGTTTTTTACGCGTCTACATTTTGCAACCTCGCAGCAGGGTTGCATTATGGCAATACTAATCACATTTTTTTTTATTTAATGGGCACGTTTTTCGTATTTGCATTTAATTTGAATGCAATTTCTGATGAAAAGAAACAAATCAAGGAAAAGAAAT